GTTATCGCAAAAAGTGGAAATTTTAAACAGACTAGACGCTAGTGAAATCTTTGTTGCCATATTTATCACAACGTTTCGGCCGTTGTACGCTCCGGCCTTCTTCAGGTGGTTGTGAGTTGTGAGTTCAATACCTGGTTAAGGCAGTGTAGAACTTGGAGAGGTGAATTAACAGAAGATAACTGATAGTTGAAATCCATTAGACATGGCACGTGGAACTAGAAACGTCTACCCCAGTGAGCGAAAATAAAAGGTTCAGTTCGACATTCAAACCAGCTGAAGAAGGCTGGAGCGTACAACGGCCGAAACGTTGTAATAAATATGGCAACAAAGATGAGGACAATAGTCCGAATAATGTAAAAAGTGTACATAATACTTCATCTCAGAAATATAGACAAAAAGCTAGTGAAATTTCATTGTAACTAATGGCTGAGTTCAACATAGGAAGGTCAATATTGTATTATATAAAATCTTCCAATGAAACTATTCTCCAGTGTTCACGCTGACACAATGAACAAGGAAATAAAAAAAAACATGATTTTGATGAAACCTGGACTAAAATTGAAAAAGGTATAGAAAATTTTGACAGTTTTATGGAAAGAAAGCTAGCATTCAAATAAGACGATTAAAATCACGCATGCAGAGAAAAGAAGCGTTTCTCGTTTAAAGAATTTCAAGAACCAAAGCAAAACGAAATGTGGAAAAAATTGACAATGACATGAGAAGGTAAAGAGTCTTCATGCAACTGCGATTAAAAATTCCTCGTTATATTATTTGTTTTGCATACGTGGCATACTTCATTAACATTACATACTTTATTTCATTTCCTTAAAATACGTGGCATACTTAATTTAATGAATTTTCATTAACTTTACATAATTTATTTCTTTTTCCTTAAAATTAATTCCGTTATATTTCACTCACCATTAGCTTATTTTGTTTACTGTAAAACATTGAAAATAAATGTTAAATCTGATTTCAGTTCTTTTATTTTAATCTAAATATAACCCCTCATATCCGGACTTTATAACCAATTCCTCATATCCGGAAGGCCTTCTTAGTCCGGTTGTCAGGGATTCTACTGTATAGGGAAACATCAGCGATCAGCTTGTTCGTTTTAGTGTCCCTCATATCCGGAATCCCTCATATCCAGAATCCCTCATATCCGGACTTTGTAGACAATTCCTCATAACCGGAAGGTCTTCTTATTCCGGTTATCAGGGATTCTATTGTATATTTATTTAGGTTTTAACATCATTTCCTATCCAAATAGTCAATCAACCAGTTCCAACTTTTGGCATCCAGCCTGGAAGTCGCTTTCTGTAAGCGAGTTGAAGACCTGCGATTCGCTCTGGATATCGGAAATGGTGTTAAAACGACATCATTTGAGCTGCATTTTCATTTTGGTTAGGAGATGGAAGTCCGCAGCTGTTACATCTGCCGAATAGTGCGGGTTGCGGAAGCGATACAATGTCGTTTTTGGCTATAAACTCACTTTTGAGGAGAGATTGGTGAAAGGGTGCATTGCAGTCGTAAAGAATCCAATTCTTCGCGCTCCTCAGATACGGTCACTTTCGCCGAACGTCCTTCCACAATCGCCTCAAAACACTGCAGTAGAACTCGTGATTAGCGGTCTGGACCTGGGAGGCGAATTCTTGTTGGATAATACCACGGATATCGAAAAATAATGAAACGATGAGCACGACAAAATTATAGGCTGCATCATACACCTGATGATAAAAACATAAATTTCACAACTTGCGAAGTGAACACAGTGATGTCACACGTACGATGGTGCTTGAAGGTCTTCCTAACCGAAACGCTCCTCTGTGGCGAAATCGGTAAACGCACGTCAGGCTATATGACGGTTCCGTATAGGATACAGGTTCGATTCCTGTCGGAGGACGCATATTTTCTATGATAATTTTTCGGACATTCAGGTCGGTAAATGTCGTTCATACTGTATATTATAAGCATAGCATGAACTTAAAAATAATTGTCGGACTTTATATATATATATATATATATATATATATATATATACACACACAAACACACGGTGGAGTAGTGGATTGCAGTTCGGATTGAGGAATTGGAGAGCTATGGTATTAGTCCTGTTCTTCTTCCCCCACCCCAGAAAATAGCACGACATACTGGGTTCTATAGCCTTGGATGGCAACTGGTCTACGAGAAGGACAACTCTGAATTCAAAACCTACTTATCTACCCAATTCAAATATCTACTATATATATATATATATATATATACTATCTCTACTATGTATACATGTATGTAGCTTGGATATGCGGATGATGTAATGATAATGGCTCTGTATTTTTAAACGGAGAGCCGATTTCCAATTTCAGTAGGTTTCGATATATTCATTGACGCGGAAATGCCCTTAGGAAAGGTTAGAATTCACATCTTCTCTCACAGCTATGGGTTAATTAGTAAGACTTGTATCACTAAATTATTATTAACTGCAAAAATATTCTTACAATCTAAAAATATTTTCTGGCTTTAAATAACCTGCAATGGGTTGATAAGTCGTAAAAAAACGTATCAATCAATCCACCGATTCTATAAATTTGATTGTGAAAAATGATGATGTAAATATTCATAAAAACGTGTTCTACATTATTATAAGAAAGTTACAGAAAAATAGTATAGTACTGATTGTTCTGTTTTTATTTTCAACCATTTGTTCTCGTTAATTAAACGATTTACAATGCATAAATAATTTTCAAAGTTAGTACCAATTCCTCTATCTAAAATGATACACAAAGACTAAAAGAATATCTTCCAAATCGTATTCATTACTTTTTGCTATGTGCCGACTTAGGGCTTTAATTTCATTCAGTGTGCCAACAGCATACGTATTTCCATACAAGTCAAGGTCAATAAACCTGTTCTACAATATACTTTATATACTAATATATAGTATATATAATTTAGTATATATTAAAATTGAAACAGCTAAATATCTTTGCTTTGTAGTAGTTACTGGTTCAGACTTCGTGATGTCATTTGCAGCTGCGTGCCATTGGAAATTGCTTGGCCTGCCACATGTGTGACACGCGTGCCGTTGGTTGCCGACTCCTCTATACCAACAAATAGAGTACTTAGAATAGAGAGAGTACTTTGTGATGTCATTTGCGGCTGCTTCCACTGAAAATTTTCCATTATCATCTCCAAAAACAAAAATCTTCTTACAAATTCGACTGTGATAAATATTGCTGTAAACATTCATAAAAACGTATTATCCATTATCAAAAGTGTAAACTGACAACAAATTTACAGGGAAATAAATAATTTTCGAAAGTTAGTGTCTGTTCATCTATCTAAAATGCCACCCAAAATATCAACGAATAGAAAAATATGCCCCAACCTCTTCTCCTCCTGCCTATGGGTTAATTAGTAAGACTTTTGTTATGGTCCGCTTCCTTGTACCACGGTGATAGTCCAAGGTAGAACCAATAAAGAATAACTCGAACACAGGTATGGAATAACACATATATATTACAAACAGGAATATATACAGAGAAGTAGAAGTGTTAGCATGAACAATCAGGTTTAGTAGAGAGAACAATGTAGTCTCGACCAGTATCACTATTCCAATGTCTTGCAGTAATTGTCTGAACGACGACTGTTTCGGACTGCCTCTGACTCGACTCTTGACTCGACTTGAACTACTGACTCAACTTGAACTACTGACTCGACTTGAACTACTCCTGAGGTGCAGTATTTATTAAGTATGGAATAGTCCATTATTATTATTATGGGTAAGACCCCATAAAAACTTTAATTACGAAACGGTTACTTGCATTTTTCGGAATGTTATTTATATTATTTCAAACCGAACCCTTTATTACCTCCACCGGGGTTGATTGTTCTAGTTTCGCGTGCCATGGCTCTTCCAGATGTATCAGTTATTTCCCTTTTAACTCAACTCTCCAAAGATTTACAAAAACATATTTGATGGTATTAAAACCTATTTTTACATTTTCATAGTGTTTTGACTCCAGTTTGGTGGAGGAGCTTAATTATTTGCCCATAGATTGGACCCTAACAGGTGAACAGAACTTCTTATAATTTCTAAATATTTTTGGGTTTTAAATAACCTGCAAATGACTAACAAGCCGTAGAAAAAAAATCAATCAATATAAACAGACAAATTAGGAATATTCTGAACTTGTAGAATTCTTCTGAGAGAGACGGATATGAAATATGATAGGCCTTGATCTGGCATCTAGTCTACAATCGCTGTCCCTCTGTCTCTTCTACAAGTATATTCACAGCAACTGTTCCGACGAGCTACTTTCCCTGGTTCCCAGACTGCATGAATTTAAGCGGGCTACCAGTCTGGCATCTCGGTCCGATCCTTTCACTGTCGAAACGGTTAATTGTAATCGTTTCTTCTACTCGAACAGCTTCTTCTCTCGCACTTCCCCTCTGTGGAACTCCCTTCCGCTTACTTTCTTCAACGATGACTAAAATCTTCAAATATTCAAGTGTAGTGTCAATCAACATTGACACCCTAAGCTTGTTCCCTGTCCATCTCCTTAGCCTTTCTTCAAACATGACTCTTTACACTTGTTCTCAATCCTAGTGGCACTCCCGCCTTGCTTGGGGTGAATTGCTTAAAAAAAGAAGAAAATAGAGATCAATCGTTTTGCCACCTTGCATCTTGGGGGAAATACTTATTTGGTTTGGTTGTTTTTATTTTGCGTCATATTCACCTCTAATGGTTAGTTAATGTCGAAATCTAAATAATTTTTCTGCAATTTTCATTTTTTATGTCTGGAGATAATAATGGTTTTAGTGATATATATCTTACTAATTAACCCATAGCTGAGGAGATAATAGGTGGATTCCTGAATTTCGTAAGTGTATTTGTGCGTAACTGAATATAACGAACCCAACTGGAATTCGAACTCGGTTCTCCGATTAACAAATCCTAGCCATTATACATCATACTACACGCACATCCAAGCCTAAGGCCTCTGATATTCCCAAGCCTTCACCTATCTAAGTATTGACCACGCTCGACGTTGCTTAACCTCGGCGATCGAACGGAAACCAGTTTTTCTACATGATCTGGCCGTAAACGTGATGGAGTGGTAGCGGGAGCTGAACTGAATGTAATTCTTCACCTGCCGACCTTCGTAAACGTTTTTGAATTTTATGAAGGCTGGAAAAAGATTATCTCCAGTCCAGATATAGCAACAACAGTCCATTTAACTGCGTACTGAGGAAACGCCCACCTCATATTATTCTCATGAACTTAAAATAAAATGGTCAGATTCAAACGACAAAATAAAATGGAAATGCTTGTTCACGAACTGCGATGCGATCAGGTCGTCCTATCTTGTCGTTCTATCGTCCTATCTTGACGTTTCTTCAGTACAAACAATATTAGTCTGACGTAGTAGCCGTTTTAATGGCTGCCTTTGAAAAGCAAGCCATACAAGCAAGACCTCATTACTGATCCAAAACTAATTAAAAAAATTAAAATTAAAATAAATAAAAACTAGCAATTTTGTCACGATGAAGGCAGGATATTTCTATTCACGAATCAAGCAGTAAAAAAATATGCATAGAAAAAGGAGACAGGCGGTCGGCTGTTTTATTTTCAACCCGCTGTGTTTTAATCATAATTTTACAATAGAAAAAAAAAATTCAACCGAAGCAAGGCGGGAATGCGACAAGTGCGCAGAGTGGGTACAGAGAATGAAAGCAAAAAAAAAAAGAAAAAATAAAGACTGAGAATAGGGAGGATTGAGGAAAGAACAAAGTATTAACGGGATTCAAGGAGACAGAAGATGATATACTTGTAGAAGAGACAGATGTTGCATTTAAATTTTTGAATATTGGAGTTATCAGAGAAGCAATGAAACGGAAGGGAGTTTCACAGGTGGGAAGTGCAAGAAAAGAAATTTTTGGGGTAGAAGTGGCGGTTGAATTTAACTATATTAACAGTAAAACTGTGGGACCTATATGCCCATCTAGAAGCACGCTTAAATTCACGGAGTCTGGGGAACAAGAGAAAAAGGCTTGTTAAAGCAACTGCCATTAAAGTATTTGTAGAAAAGACAGAGGGAATCCACGTTGGTGAGAAACTGACTGAAGTCGAGATTCTTGGTCAGGATCAATTATATTGCAGAACCTTCTTTGGGTTTGGATAAGATGTACAGCAGGAGCACCAGATCAGATTTAGCAAAAGTCTTCAATGCACGAACCAATGGTAGATTTGTAAATGTACAAGATGGATTCTGATGTGTCTCACAGTGACCCAACTTTCCTTGCAGTAGATGCAGCTATTGATTTGATGTAGTCGCTCCTCTTCAAGTCAGTGGGAAGCGTGAGGCCAAAAAGGCGGAGAGTATTATTCTCCTTGAGTCCTGCGTCAGCCATGCTGATGCAGCAGGCTGAAAAAGGTTCTCTGCCTGCCATCAGCCTGGCTAATGCTAGGCTATCGGCCTGGCTCACGCAACACACTATTTCAGATAAATTGTAACCGGGAATATCTGGAAGTCATTTCAATTAATAAGTTCCTTATTACCGTATATACTCGTGTATAGTGCGAGTTTTAGTTATTAGTTTTTATACGCAAAAAATAGAGGGTCGCGCTATACATCGTTAGTTTTTTTGAAGAGGTCAAAAATCATTATTTACATTATTCGGACTATTGTCATCTTTGTCGCCATATTTATCACAACGTTTCGGCCGTTGTACGCTCCGGCCTTCTTGAGGTGGTTGGAATTTCGAACTGAACCCTTTATTTCGCTCACTGGGGCAGACTGTTCTAGTTCCACGTGCCATGTTTAATGGATGTCAGTTATCATCTATCTCCTGCTGATTTCCCTCTGAAAGTTCTCCACTGCCTTAACCAGGTATTGAACTCACACTTTTTGGGTCCTGTCACTGGATCTAACCAACGCCTTTGCAACTTTGTTAATATCATTGCTTTTCTGTGTCACTCCTTATTACTGGTTCTCATATTGTATTTATTTCTATGCTTGGTCCGCTCAGGAGATTTTTGTGGCCTAGCATATGTGTTGATTCCTTAAGTTTACGAATTTTTATATTCCTTATAAAAATAGACAGACTCTGTTAAAAATCATGTATTTTCGGTGACCAGTTGCCTATACGCAGGTACATTTTTCTGGGAGGGACTTAAAATTCATACAAAATAAGGAATACATGTATACGAGTACATATACACTTATATCTGTTCATTGTTATTAATAAAGTAGTGCTAAAATGGTGAAGTTATTTATTGTTTCTATTTTTAAGGTATTAAATATGCTTGATGGGGTCAATAATATTTGCTGTTTGGATTTTTATACATACTTGTATATATTAATATACAACCTAGCGTGTCACACAAACACACACAAACACACATATATATATATTTTTTTGTGTGTTTTGAACAATAAAAATGTTGAGAAATTAAAAACTTAAAATTTTCACACACACTGAGTTGTATATTAATATTTTTTTGTTTTATTATTTCAATTAGGTTTCTCGACTAGTTTCGGCCATCATCAGGAGAAAAAGAATCCCTGCTTGTAAGTAGCAGTGAATGAATGACTACAGGAATGAATGACTTTCTGAAGAAAATGAAATTCATCTGTAGTTTTCATTTGCTTTTTTTAAAAAAAATTTTTATTATCGTAAATTGTGGTCAGTCCTTGTGTTGATCAAACGGTCTGTTTTAAGTTGTTATTTAAGATAGAGGCTGGATGGATTCATGCTGCTCTGAATTCCCTTCGTCATTTTGAGAGTTTTATTGGTTCCTGGAAAGGGGATGTCTCTGCGTTAAGTCTGTGTTATCGTTGGGTTCTTCCGGGATTGAGCGAGTATGATGTTCGTAAGTGTGTATATTAGTATGGGTGTGTGTATAAGTGTGACGCCTCTACACCTCCGCAAGCATGTCTCTTTTGTGGGTGAGAAATTTGAGCAGGGCCTGATTTGTGGGGTTATATATTAATTTTATCTATGTTATATATATATATATATATATATATATATATATATATATATATATATATATATATATATATATACACGAGTGTGTGTATATAGTATATACCCCCATACACGCACCGCTCGCACGCTACACACACGTGCATATATGTAATTGTTAAATAGTGCGTATGTAATTAAAGTAGGTGTATATACCATGTTATCATTCATTTAAGGTTTCATTTTTATTTTTATTCATATTTAATATTTAACAGGTTATTTTTTTTTGTCGTGGTGTTATAAACTGAGGTATTAATAATGGGGTGTTAGGTTTCACCCTTTTTCCGTGTGTGTCTCTGCATATACTTACATTTACATGTACACACCCTCATATCTTTAATATTTGTTCGTTTATTTACTTATTAATGAATTACGTTTATATTATATTTACTTCATTTATTTATTCATGTATTTATTTAAATTTTATATTATGTTTATTTTATTTATATATAATTGTCCATTTTCAAAGATGGCAAACTATTATTTATTTTTTCTTGTTTAAGAGTTTATTTTTTTCCCCAGAGCCACATCATGTCTACTTCAGATTTCCATTTCCATTCCCCATTTTTGCCGAGGCCACATCACTGGAATAATGTACGACCAAGTCAACTCACCATTAAGACATTATTTCACTTGTCTATATCTTCTAATATGTACTGTGTTTGCTGCATGAATAAACTATTGTCTAATTCTATTTTCTGTAAATATGTAACTAAGTGTTTCTTTTGTCTTGTATTCACCTATATATATATATATATATATATATATATATATATATATATATGAATGTTACTATATTGCAGGTATAGTAATGCTATATTGGGATGGTAAGATAACTTTATCACCGCCAGCCATTCTAATATCCGTAAAGAGGAATAGTGTCGAAATACATAATTACTTTCCGAAGACAAGGAAAACAAAATATCCTATCATTCTCTGACGATTTAGTAAACAGACCAATTATTGCTAATTTTTTTCTCTAAGCATAATTTTTAATCTATACAGTCAATAGTCCATTGTGCTGCTCCTTTTATAATTTCATATTTGATTTTGGTAGGTATATTGTTTTCTTTTTAGCTTCATATGTATTTTGATAGGGTTGTATTGTTTCTGTAATTTTTTCTTTCCAAGAACATTTTATGGTTATCTTCCTTTAAAGGATTTTTTTCTGTGGCGCCTATGTAATTGTTTTCGTCTGTGTTAATGTTATTGGTCAGATAGTTTTTATATTATGTTAATTGTTAAATATTTATTGTTTAGTGAGCAATTTTCTTTGTTACTGCAATTACATTTAATGGCGTTATTTTGCTGCTTCTCATCGTTATCGTTTTTGTAATTATTATTAGTTTTGTTGAGTATTATTTTTATTGCGTTTAGTTATTATTTTTTCCATGTTATCCATGCAGCTGTAAGTAATTTTCATTGACTTTTTGTTGATACTTTTGATAATTTGCTCTTTTTTAGGAAGTGTTTGTCAATCATTTTAAAGAATATTTTACCTATTTTTGTTTTTAAAGTATTATTGCAGGAAGGGGGATTGAACCAAATTATATTTGTTTTTTTTTTCTCTTGCTATTGTCTGAATAGTTTTCTTATTGTTTGAATATTCGCTGTTTCTTAGGGACGATTCATGATTTTTTAGTTTTTATTAAATAATTTTAGGCTACTATAATTTGTTGAAATTCTTTTATTTATAGTTATGGGTATTTGTTTGAATACGTTAGGGGCTTAGAATTTTTGTTAATTTTTGTATACTGGTTTGTTTGGTTTGGTTTTCTGTATGGTTTGTAGGTTTTGTTATTTAATTTGAATTTATATCTGAGAAATTTGCTATTTTGTTATTGGGATTTTATATCTATTGTAAATCCTAAGGTTCTTAAGTTTTCTTAATTATTTCTTGTTTTGGTTTTTCTGTAGGTCTCGCTGATGCTGTTACTTAGAATTAATAGCCCGTCGTCACTGTATAGACCTATATCTTTTTTAATAATATTTGTTAATTTTTTTGATTATGTATATGTCTATAAGTTCGCATAAAAATGCATCATCAAAGCCACCCATTGTTACATCAAAGTTATTATTATCATTATTGTTCTTATTAGGGACCTTTTTGACCATATATTTATTGCGGTATAATATTGATTAATGTTTGATCATATTTATATCCTCATTGGGGAAAGTCATGTATTGTTTTGCGAACTTTAGTGCATTGTTTAGTGTATTCCCATTAAAACATGTGTAGAAAACCGTTATGTCTTAATGTATGAAGGAACAGTTTTCGCTAT